AGAGAGGATATATACTCAGCATATTTAAAGAGAGAAATTGGGGAAGAAAAGAGGGGTGGAAAATGAATGGATGGTTGTTCCTGTCTTTAAAGCACAAATCATGAAACCATTTGGGGTCTAATCTCTTCCTCCTCTGAGAAGGCAAAGATGGCTATAAATAGTAATTTTTTCTCAAAAAAACAAAAAACTTACATGAAAAGATGCTTAACATTAGCCATCAAGGAGATGCAAATCGAAACCCCAAGGAGACACTACCTAACACCCAGAAGGGTTATATCATAGACATATAGATAAGGAACAAGTTGAGAGGGTACAGAGAAACAGGACACTCCCAAGCTGCTGGCCGGACGTGAAATGGAGCAGCCATTGTAGGAAAGAGGCAACAGATGCAGCACTCCTCCATACACACCCCAAACAACCCAAAACACGGTCCATACAAAAACTCCTACATGTCCTAAGCAATACTACTTATAAAATCACAAATGGAAATAACACGAAGGCCTATGGCCTGACAGGTGGACATAAACTGTGATGTGAAATAGTATTTGAAAAATAAGTAATTAATTATAACACATGCTGAAGCATGTGTGAAGCCTTACTTTGGGGTGTACACCCAAGAGGGGAATTGCTGTATCTATGTTTAGTGTCAGGCTAAGAAAAAAAGCCAATCACAAAGCATGATATGATTCCACTTATCATGTCTAGATTAAGAAAAGCTATCTTTCTGTTTCTAGACAAACAGGGCTTCAAAATGGTAGAGACTGTGACTGAAGGATGATAGCAAAGGGGTCTAAGGTTTCTTTTTTGTGATAAAAATGCTCAAAAGTTGATTGGTACAATGAATACACAACCCTGTGAAAATACCGAAATCCATTCATTTGCATACTGAGAGCAGGGAGAACAAGATCTTACTAGGTAGCCTAAGCTTACTTTTTTCTTTTTTTTTGGTCTGGTCGTGGGGCCTGAACTCTGGGCCTGGGCGCTGTCCCTCAGCTCTTCAGCTCAAGGCTAGCGCTCTACCACTTGAGCCGCAGCACCACTTCCGGCTTTTTTCTTTTTGCTTATGGGGTGCTGAGGAATCGAACCCAGGGCCTCAGGTATGCAAGGCAAGCACTCTACTACTGAGCCACCTTCCCAGCCCGAGCCTAAGCTTACTTTGAGTTTTATGATCCTCTTGCTTCAGCCTCCTGGATTTTGGAATAACAGATCACTACAATGCCCAGCTCATTTACACACTTTAACTGGGTGCACTATATGGAATGTAAATATATATATATATATATATATATATATATATATATATATATAAACATATATATATGATATATACATATGATAATATGCACATACTTCCCTAAGAATAAACTTATGAAATAATGTGCTAGACTACAAAACAAAAAATGTATAAAACAATAATTTAAAAAACTGAAATGGGGGGGGGAGGATTGTGGGGGGGAGCGGAGGGAGGATGGGAAGGGATGGAAAGGGGAAACAAAGGAGGTGGCTACAATGCTTGATAAGAAATGTACTCATTATCTTGCCCATGTAATTGTAACCCCTCTGTACAGTAGTTTCACAATTTAAAAAAAAAAAACTGAAATGCCAGGCACCAGTGCATGCCTATAATCCTAGCTACTCAGGAGGCTGAGATCTGAGGATCAAGGTTTAAAGCCATCCCAGGCAGGAAAGTCCATGAGACTCTCTCCAATAAACCCCCAGAAAACCAGAAGTGGCACTGTGGCTCAAGTGGTTAGAGCACTCGCCTTGAGCTAAAGAGCTGAGGGACAGCGCCCAGGCCCAGAGTTCAAGCTCCACAACCAAGAAAAAAGAACGAATGAACAAAAGAAAGAAAGAAAGAGGGGCTGGTAAGGTGGCTCAGTGGTAGCCTTGCATGCATGAGGCTGTGGGTTCGATTCCTCAGCACCACATAAGCAAAAAGAAAAAAAGCCAGAAGTGGTGCTGCGGCTCAAGTGGTAGAGCGCTAGCCTTGAGCTGAAGAGCTGAGGGACAGTGCCCAGGCCCAGAGTTCAGGCCCCACGACCGGACCCCCAAAAAAAAAAAAAGAAAGAAAGAAGGAAGAATTAGCCAGGCTCTGATAGTTCACACCTATAAACCTAACTATTCGGAAGAATGAAATCTGTTTTGTTTTGGTTTGATTTTATTTGGGTCCAGTCATGGGCCTGAACTCTGGGCCTGGGTACTGTCCCTCAGCTCTTCAGCTCAAGTTAGTGCTCTACCACTTGAGCCACAGCGCCACTTCCAGCTTTTTTTTCCTGCATATGTGGTGCTGAGGAATCGAACCCAGGGCCTCATGCATGCAAGGCAAGCGCTCTACCACTGAGCCACCTTCCCAGCCCAAGGATGAGATCTGAAGATTGTGGCTCAAAACTAGCTCAGGCAGGAAAGTCTGTAAGACTCTAATCTCCAATTAACCACCAAAAAAATGGAAGTGGCCCTGTGGTCCAAGTGGTAGAGCACTCACCTTAAGCTGAAGAGCTCAGGGACAGTCCCCAGGGACTGAGTTCAAGCACTACAATCAACAAAAAAAAAAAAAAATTTTTTTTTAAATGTACCACACAGTCTATATGTAAGAACTCTACTCTATGAAAATGCCTATTCTCAAGCAGGGTATGGTACTGCATGCCTGTAATCTCTACACAAAGAGGCTGAGGAAGGAAGATCCCAGATTCAAGGATAGACAGACATTTCTTCAGTGAGAGGTCTCTGGTAGAAGTGACAGATAGCTAGGACTTTTCAGGGTCTATGTGTACCACACGAAGATCAAATTGCATATGTTACTGAAAGATAGTCTCTTAGCAAAGATACTGAAGGAACAACAAAGTCAGAGGAGAATAACCAATTGGGTTTGGCCTGTCATATGTAAACTACATAAAGCAAAAACAGTGCAAAACAAGGAAGATACCCAAAACAATCCTAAAGAACAAACCTTGACACTCATACTGTCAGATACCAAGACAGTAAATAAAAACACCTAGCTGGGTGGCTCACACCTGTAATCCTAGCTACCCAGGAGGCTGAAATCTGAAGATCAAGGTTCAAAGCCAGCCCAGGCAGGAAAGTCCATGAGACTTTCAAAAACTCAAAAGTACAACTATGTTAACTCAAGCGGTAGAGCAACAGTCTTAAGAAAAAAAAACTAAAGAACAGTACCTAGGCCCTGAGTGCAAGCCCCAGTATCAGTACCAAAAAAAAAAAAGTAATAGAAATAAAGAAAGAGAAAAGTTGAGTGTGATGTGCACACTTATAATCCCAGCATTATAGAGTCTGAGGCCAGCCTGAGCTACAGTGAGACCCTGTCTCAAAAGGAAGAAAACAAAAAAAGACGATCAGATACAAAGATATTACAGAAACAAACTCACATCATTTAATAATGTGATAGTATACAACCATGGGCAGAGGACAGTCTTTTCAATATGCAGTATCATTTAACTTCATAGCCATATGGAAATGTGAATTTTGCATGCCCTCCTAACTATATCAGCATGGATTCAATTCCAGATGAACCAGAGACTGCTATAGACTCAATCATGGCTCTCACAAATGCCTGGGCTGAAGTGCTAACTTCCAGTACCTCAAAAAGTGAATGCATTTGGAGACAGAAAAGATGATTAAATTGAAATGAGGCTGGTAAGGTGGCTCTAACCTTATGTCCTAAAAAGTGTCTTCCTAAAAAGTGAAAATTTGAACACACAGAGACACCAGGCATGTACTTACACAGAAGAGTCCATGAAAGATATAGCAAGAAAGTAGCCATGCACAGCCCAGGAGAGCCCAAAAGAAGTCAAATTCTCAGACACCTTGAACTTGGGCTACCTTTCTCCCAAACTGAGAAAATTAATACTACTGTTTAAGCCACCTAGCCAGTGGTATTGTGTCCTGGAAGACTTAATAAACTAATAAAAGACTACATTTTGAAACAGAAACAGTAAAACATCTGAAAGGTAACAGACGAGTGTCTTTAAATTCTTGGGTAGGCAAAAAAGTTCATCTAACCAAGAAAAAAAAAGCATTCATCATAAAGAAATAGTGAAGCCAGGCATGGTATAACACGTCTATAATCCCAGCACTGAGAAGGTTGAGGTAGAGGACCTCAAGTTCAAGACCAGCTTGGGCTAGACAGTGAGAATCAGCCTCAAAAATAAAAGGGGGTAGGGGAAAATGCAGTTCAGTGGTCCAATGCTTGCCTAGCAGGTGCAAGGCCCTCGTATGGTCTCCTAAAAAAGTAAACAAACGTTTAAAAATCAAAGACTGATAAACTGTTAAAATTCAGAACATCTGCTTTCCACGTCACCATTTGAAATTTTTTAAAGTAACCAGCCAATGGAAGAGGATATCTTCAAAATATATAGATATAGATAGATAGATATAATAAAGAATTAGGAAAACTCCTACATAATAAAAAAAAAAGTACCCATCCCTTTAAAAAAATATTTGATGGGGCTGGGAAGGTGGCTCAGTGGTAGAGAGCTTGCCTTGCATGCATGAGGCCCTGGGTTCGATTCCTCAGCACCACATAAGCAAAAAAGAAAAAAAGCCAGAAGTGGTGCTGTGTCTCAAGTGGAGAGCGCTAGCCTTGAGCTGAAGAGCTGAGGGACAGCGCCCAGGCTCAGAGTTCAGGACCCATGACCGGACCCATAAATAAATAAATAAATAAATAAATAAATAAATAAATAATATATGAAAAAGATTAGAAACAGTAGCTTTACAAAGGAGTGGCAAAACGGCTAGTAAACATATTTGAAAGTGTTCAACTTCATAGCCAGGGAAACACAAATGAAACCACAGTGAGTAAACCAACAGCACACCCTACCACAAGCGCTGATCCTGAGAGGCTGATTCAGGCAGAGAAGTTGACAAGCAACCAACCTCCTGCACTCTGCAAAGGAAGCATTAGCAGCTGTAAGCTTACACAGGAGCAGGTGTACTAAGAAGTCTAAAGTTCCCTGTCTCAAATAAGATTATTTTCAAAAATCTCTTACCTCTTTCTGAACTATCCTAAATTTTTCAAGGAGTTTACACTTTTCTTCTATCAGTCCAGAAAGCTCTAGGGCAAGCTTTTTTTCTCTTCCTTAAAAAAGAAAAGTCAATATTATCATGAATAAATTATTACATTTTCCAATTATACATCATAGTGATGAATCTAAAGTAGAAAATCACCAGCTTACCTATATAAAGCCGGCTTCTAACCTAAAAGAAAATTTTAACACAAAAGGATTACATTAGAATAAATACATTTTCAAGTAAATCTAATTTCTTTAACTTTTACTCCCAACTTTAAAACAGTAAGTTTCTGATTGACTGTCTTATTATGAATGAGTTAGCCAATGAGAAAAACCCCCATTGAAGATTTCCATTGCATACTATCATACTCAAGGTTCTAATATAACTTCATTGGAAAGACTCCTGCTTAGTTTCATTTAACCTATGTTTACCCAAATATATTTGGCTTTAAGTCAAAGTATTGTTTTGTTATTGTTGTTGGCCGTGGGGCTTGACTTCTAGGCCTGGGCACCGTCCCTCAGCTCTTCAGCTCAAGACAAGCACTCTACCACTTGAGCCACAGTGCCACTCTGGTTTTTGGTGGTTTATTGGAGATAAGAGTCTCACAGACTTTTCCTGCCCTGGCTGGCTTTGAATCGTGATCCTCAGATCCTCAAAGCCTCCTGAACAGCTAGGATTACAGGCATGAGCCACCAGCGCCCAGCAAGTCAAAGTATTTTTAAAAGCCTCTCTAATCATGTCACCATGAACTACAGATCTAAAAGAAAGCTTATGAAACCAAAAACCAAACCTGTTTCTTCTTTGAACTTTCAAATAATGAAGGGGGCAGAGTGGTAAATTCACTTGTAAGAGATTAGCATGAGACAGCATAACCAAGTAGAAAAGACAAAAAAAAAATTTAAGTCACATGCAGAATGTATACATGACTAGATGTATTTCTGAGACAAACTGTCACAAATACACAGAGACGTAGGTAAGAAGGGCCACAGCAACACTGTATACCACAGTAAAGGCCTGGAAACAACCCACATGTCAAAGGTCAAAAAATATATAGAGATAGGTCTGGGAATGTGGCTTAGTGGCAGAGTGCTTGCCTAGTAAGCATAAAGCCCTAGGTTCCATTCTTCAGTACAAAATAAACAGAAAAAGCCAGAAGTGGCTCTGTGGCTCTCAAGTGGTAGAGTATTAGTGTTGAACACAGAGAGGCTCAGGGGACAGTGTCTAGTCCCTGAGTTCAAGCCCTAGGTCTGACAAAAAATATAGATAAAGAGATAGATGATAGATAGATAGATAGATAGATAGATAGATAGATAGATAGATAGATAGATATGAAACTATAGTATATATATATATATATATATATTTTTTTTTTTTTTTTTTTTTTTTGGTCATGAGGCTTGAACTCTTGGCTTGGGCGCTGTCCTTGCACTCTTCAGCTCAAGACAAGTGCTCTACCGCTTGAACCACAACGCTCTTCTGGTTTTCTAGTGGTTTATTGGAGATAAGAGTCTCTTGGCCTTTCCTGGGGGCTGGCTTTGAACCATGATCCTCAGATCTCAGGCTCCCGAGTAGCTAGGATTACAGGCGTGAGCCACCAGTGCCCAGCCTATAGTATATTTTATAACAAAATATTCTAGAGCAATCAAAACAGAAAGAAATGACAGCTTTATTCAAAATATGGATGAAGGGGCCAGGCACTGGTGGCTCATGCCTATAATACTAACTACTGAGGAGGCTGAGATCTGAGGATCACGGTTCAAAGTCAGCCTAGGCAGGAAAGTCTTCGAGACTCTAATCTCCAATTAATCACCTGAAAATCGGAAGTGATGCTGTAGGTCAAGTGACAAGAGTACTCACCTTTAGCTGAAGAGGTGAGGGACAGCACCCAGGCCCAGAGTTCAAGCCCCATGACCGACCCCCCCCCCCCAAAAAAAAAAAAAAAAAAAAATATATATATATATATATATATGAATGAATCTTAACAGCACAGGATGGAATTTTAAAAACATAGCATTCCAAACTAAAATTATATACTATTCTTTGAAAGGATATGACTCTCCCTCCCCCTACATCTTTAAAGACATGGGAAGAAGGAGTACAAGATTCTAAAGAAAGTGACCTCTTCAGAGGTCATGAGTGGTCTTTAGAGGATAACAGAGAGGCGGGGATGAACTGAGGGAAGACCAACTATATGTAATAATAGTCAATTTTTTTTAATTCCAAAAAAATTTGGATACACTTACAGATATTTAAAAGCAAACATAAATCAAAAAGGAAAAAATAAACTCAAGACAAAAAAAATATATCGTTAAATGACTACTCCTTTGTACAACAACTATATATATATAAAGATGTATATCTATAGCTATCAGATATATCAGATATCTATATATCAGATATATATATCTATATATCTCTATATATCAGATAGAAACATAGACATATAGAGATATAGACATATCCATATATAGATAGAGATATACATAGATAGATATGAAAACAAGAAATGGAGAATTTTAGTATTAATATAGGATAGTTCCAAAAAGAAATTCTCTTAAAATTTTTGCTCAGAAAAATTCCTCTGAGAGGCTGGGAAGGTGGCTCAGTGGTAGAGCACTTGCCTTGCATGCCTAAGGCCCTGGGTTCGATTCCTCAGCACCACATAAAGAAAAATAAGAGCCGGAAATGGCACTGTGGCTCAAGTGGTAGAGTGTTGGCCTTGAGCTGAAGAGCTGAGGGACAGCATCAAGGCCCAGAGTTCAGGCCCCATGACTAGACCCCCCCCAAAAAAAAAAAAATTCCTCTGAATCCATGTTCAGTTGCTAATTTCTTTCCTTAAAATAACAAGTATGTCTCTCCTATTACTGGCTCAGTCCAAAGATAAAAAGAACATTATCTTAATATATGTTGGTAACTTACCGATCGAAAACTTCTCCATAAAAACAAGGCAACAGCAAAAAATCCACCAAAAGCTACACAGATGACCAACTCCCACGGGAAGCCATAGGGGTTTGGGCCTGGTCTCATATCTTCAGGCAATGCTGCCACAACCTTGGAGACAAAGACACTTGTTACCTATAAGAAATGCACCTCACTGAGACAACTCAGGGAAAGATTAGATTTTCCAAGAAGATATAGCCTGAAAACAATCAGGGATAACCATAGTCATATAACAAAGCAGATGAATCTCAAATAACAAATAGGCTAAAAAAGAAATCAGAAAAACAACACCCTCAAAAAAACCTTAAATACTTGAAAAGAAATGTAACCAATGAGATGAAAGGGCTCTATTATGAAAACTATAAAGCCTTGGACTAGGAAGGTGGCTCAGTGGTAGAGCGCTTGCCCTGCATGCATGAGGCCCTGGGTTCGATTCCTCAGCACCACATAAACAGAAAAACACAGAAGTGGCTCTATGGCTTAAATGGTAGAGTTCTGGCCTTGAGCTGAAGAGCTGAAGGACAGCACCCAGGCCCAGAGTTCAAGTCTCACCACCGTGAAAAAAAAAAAAAAGTAGATAAAGCCTTCAATAACAAAAACAGCCTTGAAGAGTATACTTCATCAGAATATGTTTTTGTTTTGAGTTTTTCTGTTTGTTTGTCATACCTGGAGCTTGACCTTAGGGCCTCAGTGCTATTCCTTAATTTTACCACCACCCCCACATCCTCACCCCCTCAAGGCTAGCACTCTACCATTTTGAGCCACAGCACAACTTCCAGCTTTTTGGTAGTTAATTGGAGATAAAGAGTCTCACAGATTTTTCCAGAATAGGCTGGCTTTGAACTGTGATCCTCAAATCTCAGCCTCCTGGAGCAGTTATAGGCATGAGCCACCAGCACCTGGCCTGGTCTAATTTTTTAATCTGAATCTCTTTTTTTTTTTTTTTTTTTGCCAGTCCTGGGCACTGTTCCTGAGCATCTTTTGCTTGAGGCAAGTGCTGTACCACTTAAGCCACAGCACCACTTCTGGCTTTTTCTGTTTATGTGGTACTGAGGAATGGAACCCCTGGCTTCATGCATGTTAGGTAAGCACTCTACCACTAAGCCACATTCACAGCCCATCCTTCCTCTTTCTTTAAGTTAGTTTAGGTAAAGGTTTGCCAACTTTTATTTTTTGCAAAGAACCAACTTCTGGACATATATTCGAAGGAATTTAACAAAACATACAATATACATACCTACCCAAGCATCTTTATTTACAGCAGCACTATTCACAGTAGCAAAGCTACAGAATCAACCCAGGTGTCCACTAAACAATGAATAAATTAAATGTAACACATATACACAATAGGGTACTGTTCAAAATAAAGGAGAATGAAATGTATCATTTGCAAAGGAATCCATGGAACTAGAAATCATGCAAAGTGAAATAAAGTAGCTAATAGCATTTACAACCCAAATGTCCATCAGCTATGACATGAAAGTAGTATATTAGCACAACATAAAAAGGAATGAAACACTGTTACATGCTCAAATATGGATGAACCTTGAGAACATGCTGAAGAAGCCATAACAACAACAACAAAAAAAATAGAACTGTATTCACAGGAAATGTGCAGGATAAACTTTAACAGAAACAAAAGGTCAAGTGCAGAGATGGGGGTAGGGGAGAAGCTACTAATAAGTACTAAGTTTCTCTGTAGAGATGACAAAAATATGGTAATTGCGCAAAATAGTGAATATATGAAAAATCACTTAACTAAACTCTACATCACAGGATAAAATTTATGTTACATGGATGTATCCCAATATAATTAAAAATTAACATCAGAGCAATGTTATGCTATCCTAGTAGTACCCAGGCCAAAATGTTAGGGCAGTGGCATTTAAGGGTAAATCACCATGTAAGTGAAAATACTGTTGGACGAGACAAAATTCTGCAAAATTTAACTCCTCTCTATGTCTCTCTCCATGGGCAGTCTTACAAAAAAAAAAAAAAAATACTGGGGCCAAGAATGTAGCTTGATGGTAGAGTGCTTGCCTAGGGTGCATGAGGCTCTGGGTTGGATTTCTTGATACCACATCAACAAAAAGTAAATAAAATAAATATTCCACTGTACTGCCTAGAACTTTCAAAAAAAAAAATACAGATTGTTGTTTTTGATGTAGGGAAATATATACATTCTGGAATTACCTCTAAGCCACAATATGCTTCTCTTCCTAAAAACTCCATCAGTGAAAGAATTGTCAAGCCCTCCCTCCCCTCCCTTTCTCTTCCTCTTCCTCTGCCTCTTCTTCCTCTCTCTCTGTTTCTCTCTGTCTCTCTCTCTCACTCTCCCCCCCCACGCCCCTCAACTCACCATTCCTAGCTTATTTTCTGGTCTTACGACTCTACGACTTATTTCTCCTTCACCTCACATTTAATCTTCAGGAAGCTCCATCTGAACCCTAAGTCTTACCCACTGAAAGCCTATGTTAATAGCTCTCCAGCACCCTGCAGAGACACTCGGATCCTGCTTGTCTCCAGTTGAGCACCATCTTATCCTCAAAAGTGGCCCGACTCCTGGACCTGCAGACACTGTCACCTGTCTCTTCCACTCCAGCTATTGGCTCAGTCAAGAAAAATCAAATCTCTCCCTCCCCCTCACTTTATGATGTGTGCTTCAGTAAACTACCGCGGACCAATGTCTTGCCCTCTTTCCAAATGATCAAGACTGTATCTTAGTTCCCTTAAAATCTCCCTGGAGCTGTCCCTCCCATTCACATGTATGCGTTCAGACACCTGTGAACACACACGCACGCACGCGTGAACATACACATACGTGGGCGAACAGCACCCTTCGATTCCCATGGCAAGAAGATAATCGTAACCGTCTCTAGCCTTTTGGACAATCATAATGTAACGTAATGTACCGCTGTGCGGGAGGTGATATGCGCAGAGGGCTTCCAGGTGATCGGTGCGCGTCCTTTCGCACACGTGTTCCCCGCTCGCTCGGCTCAGGCAGCCGGTGTGGAACAGCCATGGGAACGCCCCGCAGGCATGTCCACAGCCGTCACTGCAAACACGCGTGAGACCAAGAGCCGCGGTCCGCGACCTCATCAGAAATGGGGCAACTTTCTACCAACACGCTCTTTACGCGGACGGGAGCGCGTGCGTTACCGAGACGCGACCCGAGGCCAGGACGTCTCACCGGGAAGAGAAAGAAAGAAAGAAAGGCGCTGAAAGCCCATCCCGCCCAGGCTCGGGGGTTGCTTCCCCCCCGACCTCAAGTTCCCTCCATGCCGGCGCGTGAAAGTCGTTTCCCGGGACGGGTCCCCGAGCGCCCCGCAGGCGAGCCGGGCCCCGCGGGTCCCCGGAGCCAGGCTTCCCCACACACACAGCCGGACGCGAGCGATCCTCCCCATTCGGGTGACCCGGAGGCGTTCGCGACACCTCGGCGAAGTCCACCCAGCAGAGGTTCTCTTCAGCGGGTTCCGGCCCCCTAACCTGTCCGCCGCAGCCCCGGCGCCCCGCGGCAGGTGCGGGTAGACTGGTGCGGGGGGGGGGGGGGGGGGGAGGGACGCAGCCCACCGAACCCCCCCACCCTCAGCCCGCCGGCAGCTGCCTCCCCCCGCGGGCTCCGGGGCCACGTCACCCCCCCGATCGCACCCGGACTCACCTTACGTAGCTCCTCCACCACCAGCCCCAAGTAAGGCTGCGGGGCGGCCTTCAGCCCCTCCATGGTGGCCCCGGCGGTCGCCACGGCAGCCACGGCCTGGGCCCGGCCACCACAGGCGACACAGAACCCGACGCCTGCCGTCCGGAACCCGAACACTCACCGGGCGGCCGGAACGAACCACTGCGGAGCCGGCTGCGGGGGGGGGAGCGGAGCCGAGCGACGCGGGCGCCGGCCCCGCCGCACGCGCCCGCCGCCGGCCCGCCGCGGGGGCCGAGCCCGCCCACGGCGCTACGCGCTGCGGCCGCGCAGGTGCGAGCTCGCTCCCCACGCGCCCCCGGCTTCCCCCCTCCATGCCCGCCGTCCACCCCCCCGCAGTTGGTTTCGTCCAGGCCGCCGCGGGGGAGGCGGGCCGCGCGCCGCGGTAAACTCCCCCCCTTCCTCGAGCGAGGTTGGTAGACGTGTCCGGCTCGTTCTCTCTTAAAGGGGCCGCCGCTCTACACGGCCTGGCCACCCAGCCTTGCAAGTTGAGTGGTGGGCGGCTGGAGAACGGGGTTGCAAGCCGCCGTTGCGGCTCGGGACCCCAGCTTCGAGTGACAACAGGCTCCTTGTCCTACACACCCACAGCCCCCGTCCCCAGCACGATCCGCGCCGCTGCCGTCTGCCACCTGCGCGCCACGCGTGCCCCGACCGACCCCCCTCGTACCCCAGGGGACCCCGCCGGAGCCGGGACACCCGCCGCTGTCATCACGCTTGTCCGAAAACGACCTGCGGGGCGCGCGCCCCTGCGTCCTGCCAACCGCGTCTGGACTTAGGACTTTGGACGTGGAGGCGCGTCCCGGGCCAGCTGAGCCGAGTTGAACCTCTCCTAGCCAAGGAAGGTCGGCTCTCCAGCGCCCAGAGGAGGGCTCCCTGGGCACTGGCCAGGATGGATCTACCCTGAACTCCATCAAGCTCCTAGTGATCCAAGGGCCAGGTTAAATGCGCGTGCACCTTGGCCCGTCGAGTTGGTGCTGTGCTCTGGGAAGAGCAGCTAAAAGGAGCGAGTTCCCCCTCTAAATTTAGGACCCTATTTTTAGGAATCTTGCGTAAAGTAGCCTGAGATATGATTTCAGATGGCACAGGTGTGAGATAAGCCATCTCCTCTTGCTTCCCAGCAAAATCATTCTAATCAAATTCTGCCTTCTTACTGGTCTTCAGTGAAACAACTCAAAACTCAACAACCAGATACTTCTTCCTGAACGAATCACCCAAGACATGAACAAAATCTTAATCCTTAGGAAACTTCCCTAAAAACTTAACAGCAACTCTTACGAATTAAACAAAACCAACAACAACCAAAGAAGAAAGAAGAAGAGGAGGAGGAGGAGGGAGAAAGAGAGAGAGAGAGAGAAAGAAAGAAAGAGAGAAAAGAAAGAAAGGAGGGAGAGAGGGAAGGAGGGAGAGAGGGAAAGGA